TAGCTATATGGGAAAGTTTTGAGGTGAAAATCATGTATTGTGTTGATCAACAAAGATCGATGGAATTAATGAAATCAAAGAAAAAACGGTTATGGGAATGGAAACTTCTGATCACGATTTGTTTTCCATTAATAAAACAGTCCCAAATGACTAAAACCCCCTTAATGATCTTCAGCTTGTTGTCTTGATTTTCCATCAACCGTACGTAGATCTCATTTATATGAATGGCTAAGATTAATTTGCACTTTGTAAGTTAGGAGGAGTTTGTACATGATCCTTAATCATATATATATATATATATAGAGGACTTTTCATGTCCAGCCGGCCTGACGGGAACCGCCGTCCGGCCGAGGGCATTTCGGGCACTTCCCGATGGAATTTTTTGATGAAATTTTTTGAGCATGTTCTTCATGAAGTCTAGTTTTACCATACCAAATTTCAGCTCAAAATTCGATCGGGAAGGCATTCAAATAATTTTGTGAAGTTAACTGGGCAGTTTATATGTATGAACTGCCCAGTTAACTTCACAAAATTATTTGAATGCCTTCCCGATCGAATTTTGAGCTGAAATTTGGTATGGATAAACTAGACTTCATGAAGAACATGCTCAAAAATTTTCATCAAAAAATTCCATCGGGAAGTGCCCGAAATGCCCTCGGCCGGACGGCGGTTCCCGTCAGGCCGGCTGGACAAGAAGACTACTCTATATATATATATATATATATATATATATATATATATATATAGTTTGGTTCAAATAAAAAGTACTTCCTAGGTGAAAAATAAGAACTAATCTTGGCCATTGATGTGAAAAAATGGATGGAAGAGATCAATTTTTAGGTTGGAAACACGGTGACATATTTGTAATTATGGAGAACTTTTATTGAAAATATTGTGACAAATGTGCATCAGAATAGTCGAAAAGTGCACATGTAGAGCACAAAAGTGCAATACGGTACAAAATAAAAAGGGCACAAGCTGGAAACAATTTAACAATTTTTTTGACACGCATGAGTGTACTTTTAATCAGTAACTATCCACTTTATAGTATAAATGTTTGCACATTTTTTGAAATAATCTCTTTTGTTTAAAGTTCATCTAATCCATCCATTTTCAAGTGATGGAAAGCCAAGATTTATTCTCACTTTTCATGGGAAGACTACTTTTTACTTGAACCCACCCCTATATATATATATAAGGATGAACATTCAATGAAGAGTCTTGTGAAATTAATAGTTTCACAAGTGTAAATTTATTAATCGTTGTAATCAAACAACCTATCTAATTTTAGTTCTTGTAATCAAGAATAAACAGATGACTAGATTTACAAATTGACAACAAAATTGTATAGAATTACTTGGATAAAATTTATCATCAAACTCAACCTCTATAAATGGGGATCTGATGAATTACTTGGAAAAAGGATATGCAGATATCATTTTTTAAGTAAATAAAAATTTCAACGTTTTTAAAATAGAAATATACTACTCAGTATATCTCTTCATTGTTTCTCTCTAAAAACCTAGCGGCCGTCTTCCTTGTTTGTAGGGATTGAAATTTTCCGCCTCCCCTATCAATATGAGGCTGAAACGACAGATTATACCGATTTTAAGTGTTCTAACGTACAAGATTGCAATTACGTTGGAGGAGATAACGTAGGTGGATGAACAGATTGCGGTTGGGAGTTTGTATTGGTGCTGGATCGTGAAGTCATGGTCGGCCGCTCCGAAAATGGTGGAGTTGGTATTCACCCATATTGCAAGAGCTCGTCCTCCTCCGGAATCACCTCCATACCAAGAGTTTTGCGAGTTTAAATATGTCAGTTTCAGGTTTAGCGAGTCCGGTTGCTTTATATGAGGTGACTAACTGTATATCTAATCACAAGGTTCACGATTCAATCCGTAAATTTTGTGTGATTGTCTTATATACCTTTTCGATTTTAATATAAGATGATCTTTTTTATGATAAAAATAACAAAAATGATCTTTGTACCCACTCTTATACCCACATTTGTACCCACCTATGTTTGTGAAGGTATTTTTTTTGTCTGTGAATCCCGGTTCACAAACAATATTTTGCACAAACAAAATATTGTCTGTGAATCGGATTTACAGACAAAACAAAAAACATTCACAAACATGGTGGATATAAGGTGAGTATAAGAGTGGGTACATCAAACATTGTTGTAAAAATAATGTTTTTAAAATTGAACTTTTTTTAAAACATAACAATGATGACTCCCTCAAAACGGGAGAGAGCGACTCAAGGTTGGTTTGCAAACGCTTTAAAAAAAGAACTTTTCGGCTTTTGCTTTAAAAAAGCACTTCTTTTACCAAACATTACAACTTTTATTTTTCTCGACTTTCGTGTCAAAAATGCTTTTACTTTTTCTATTACACAAAAAACACTTATTTTACCAAACACTACCAACTTTTACTTTTCAAAATTATGTTTTTTTTCAAATACTATCAACTTTTATTTAATCACTTCTCCTCATTTCAGTAAAAAAATTACTTTTTTTAAAACAGAAGCTGTTGCAAACAGATCCTGAACCATCTCTGGAAGAAAAATGCTAGAGTTACCCCATTTTCTACCTCATTTTGTACCCCATTCTATGTTTGTGACTCACAAAAATCCAACTCAATTAAAATAATTGCTCCATTTTAACTCATTGCTTTTGTGAATCTAAAAACTTATAAACACCAATGATGGTTAGGGCATTTTAGGAATGATAAAAATGTTGGTGTAACACTAAAGCAAGTTAGACTTATACAATTTGTTTTAATTATTGTACCTTTCATCATTACTCTTATTTCTACTACTTACTCCGTTACCAACTGTTAAGTTTCCTATTAACATCCTATATGTGACTTTCGTATTTTAATTATTCTATGTACTTAATGGGATTGATTTTTATGTAATGTTTTCATTTAATATGGCATTTTAAAACTTTTCTCTAGGTCACCGTATATGTTATGTAGAAGATGAAATGCTACTTTGTTTAAATTATATCTTATTAATAAAAATTAAGAAAACATTACATGAAAATAACTGAAATAGTATTCCACGGTAATGTTAGTCATTTCAAACAGAAAAGTATTAAATTATTTTCCGATTGTTTCTACTTTAAAAGGTGAATTTTTAAAGTGATTTTGAAGAAAGTGCTTAATAGTAAAAGTTAGTAGTGTTTGAAAAAGGTGTTTCTAAAAAGTAAATGTTGGTGGTGTTTGGTAAAAAAAGTGTTTTTTGTGTAATAGAAAAGTGAAAAGCTCTTTTAGAGGCTGTTTGGCAACACTGTTTTTCGGTTTATCAGGCTTATCAGCCAACTTTTTCACCAAACACGTAACTTTTGCTTTCGCGCGTTGAATTGTGTAATAAGCAGAAAACGTAAGGTTGAAGTTACTTTTCTGGATGTATTGGCTGAAGTTACTGTAGATGACCACTTTAGCTGTTTTTACATATAATTTTTTCTTTATCTTATTAATAAAATATATTTTAGAAATATTTTTTTCTTAAATCATCAGAATCAGCCAATGCAGCCAATGCAGCCAGAACTTCATAAATTTCAGCAGAATAAGCCAAATCAGCCGATTTGCGTGCTACCAAACGGGCTCCTAAGGCCCCCCTCCACTTGTTTCCAACTTTTAGCTTTAAAGTGCTTAATTTAAACAAAAGTTTTCGAATTGTATAATAAGCAGATAACGTAAGGTTGAAGTTAGTTTTCTGGATGTATTAAATGAAGTTACTGTAGAATGTAGATGACCACTTTGGCTATTTTTACATATAATTTTTTCTTTATTTTATTAATAAAATATATTTTAAAAATATTTTTTTCCCTAAATCATCAGAATCAGCCAATGCAGCCACTTCAGCCAGAACTTCATAAATTTCAGCAGAATCAGCCAAATCAGCCGATTTTCGTGCTACCAAACGGGCTCTTAAGGCCCCCCTCCACTTGCTTCCAACTTTTAGCTTTAAAGTGCTTAATTTAAACAAAAGTTTTCACTTGAAAAAACTCATTTTAGCCCTTTTTAAGCCAAAAGATGAAAAAGTACGTGTTTGGTAAAAAAGTTGGTTAATAAGGATGATAAACTGAAATTATGAGTTACCAAACGGGGTCAAAATTAACTATAAGTTTGTTTCCACGTACTTGTTTGTTTTTACACCTATAATGCTAATTTAATCTCTATTCAATTATATATATTGTCAAATTGTTTGTGGTATTGGAACCATGTGTTTGGAGAATGGTTCTCCTTATGTTATTGATATGTCAATGAACGTCTATTTTGTGGTGAAACACTTTGCTATTTTTGTTATTGGCTATGAAATAATGTTAATCGCTAATGTTAGTTTGATCTTTGTCATTGTCATTGTTGTTCTTAGATGATACACTCAGAACGGTGCAATAATTTATTTTATTTATAACATGACTACTTTGTTTTGAGTTGTAATTTGAAATAAAAAGTCCAGCTCATAGTCTCATACACTTATATATGTAACTTTTTTATGTATATATTTGACTAACTTATTTATCCACTTTTTTTTAAATACTTTGCGTTATTTCTATTGTTCTTGATGGCTATAGTTCTCATGCATCCATAGTAATACGTACTTCCAAACTCTTAAGAGATTGTTAGAGTCAAAAACTTGACACCCAGATATAAATCCACTCCGTTGAAAAGTTAAACTCACCTCCTTTAGAACTAGAATATTAGACTATAATACTCTTTCATCCTCTACAGTTAGTGTCATTCTTACCATTCGAAACCCCTGACCTTAAGTGCTACATTTAGTTTCATTGTTTTTAGCTGTCAATTCTTTGATTTAGTGAGTTGAATTAGAGGTGATAATTAACTCTTGTCTTTATACGAGACGAGTTAGTAGTTATTTGTTCTGTCTGATTCAAATAGTTTGGTTTCAATACTTAGAAAGTTTATAGTAATAATTTTAGTACTAACTAAAAAACAGATTTTATAAACGTATTGGGCATTGGCTCAATAGGTAGCTTTAGCATCAGTATCTCTGGAACCATACGAAGCGACAACAGACGCCACAGCTACTTGGCCTTTACAATACTTCATACGTTTAATACATCGTTAATAAATTCTTCAGACTGTGGAGCAGGGCGCCATACGGTTTTCCTTAGATTCCTCGGCGCTTCAACATGTCACCTTAAAGGAGATAACATTTGCAAGATCAAGCATTGAAGCGCTGCTAGTAAATCCCTCTATGTTCTTTTGATTGTATTCTTTAATAATCACCACCCACCACTGACCATCGAGTGGAACATGTTGGAACCCAGTATAGTGAAAGTGGATGCATCTAGGTCAACTCAGAAGTATCTATTAAGTTAATAGTAATGCAGTTTATGTAGTTGAAAAGTTAAAAACTATTTGGATGGGGCCATGGGGTTACTCTATATAGGCATACTAACATTAAATTAATTATAAGTAGATTATACTTTTTGGAAACCTCAGATAAAGAGCTTCTCCAAAAACGTAAACCTCTAGAATAAACATAGAATTAAACCTTGAAGAATCCTATGGTCATCTGGAAGATTTTTCTTAGTTTTTCACTGTGTATAATTTCTGGATTTCTGGTAGCTGATTATTGGTATGGTTGGTAGTTTTTTGTTTTGTTGTAGTTCTGTTTATGACATTTATTGGTTGGTTATGCTTACTGAGTTACTGAAGGAACAACTCAGAGTTTGAGAGACTACGGAATTTGATGCATTATGAGATGTCAAGGTTTACGTGGAGGATCGAAAATTTCTCAAAATTGGCTGTTCGGAAGCTTTACTCTGTGGCGTTTGTTATAGATCGGTACAAATGGTATGCCCTACTTGGACATTAGTGAAAAATATTGTTCTGTGTTTGCAAATTGTGTTGGTCGATGAGTTTCACTTTCTTTTGCATATCTCCAGGAGGCTATGTCTTGATCCAAAAGATTCGACAAATCTGATGTATATTTACCTTCAAGTAGCCGACTCGTCAAGCTTACCTAATGGTTGGAGTATACGAGCAATGTACGACATAGCTCTTATTAACCAGATAGACATCAACAAAACTATCTATGAAGGTATTATACCATACGAGCCACTGAGTATGTGAAATTATCAATATTTTATTTATTTGTTCGCTGTTCTTATTTTGCACTATGGTCATGGTCCTAAAATTTAAATTTTGATTCTCATTACCAGTTATGACTCAATGTAATTGTTTGGGGATCAGGATCTTTAGTTTGGTTTTGAAGCAATATATACTGTCTTACACATAACATCTTTTATTGTAAGGATTTAAGGATTCTTGGCACGCCATCTTTCATGAAAAAGCTTTGAAAGTGTGAAAAATGTTACCTGGTGATATTACATTAACGGTTTAACCTATTAAGAATGTCAAAATCATTTCCTTACTTCTCTGTGACATGACATATGGATTTTTTTGGAGTAGATATACAAATATGATACTTACCAAATACTCCCTATGTTCATGAATATTCCCTTGTTTCTTTTTTAGTTCATCCCGAAATTATCACTCTTTCCTTTTGAAGGAGAACATTTTGTTGATATTACTTCTCTTTTCTCTAAATTAGTTCAATTACATAGCTAACATTTTCTTAATCTCTTTGATCAGTACAATTGTGTGTTTATTTTGGGATGGAGGGAGTAGTGAGAATATTAAACTCAATGTCTCAATCTTATAGCATAACTTCATTGAAATTCAATTTCTGCACATTATGCAGGGTCCGGAGATGAATTCGACACTAAACATAATAGTTGGGGATTCTCATTAATCTCGCTCAGTAAAATTCACAATAAAAGTGAAGGTTTTCTTGTTGATGACACATGCTTACTTGAAGCTGAAGTATCTGTGGTGATAGATTTTATTCTACCTTGCAATGATAATGTAAGTTCATATATGCTTGTTTTTAGTTTTAAATAGCATGCCTCAAAGGCGTGAGGCTCAAGTAGGGAATCGGGAAGGCGCATCGTAAACCACCGTTTATTTGTGCGCCACATCTGCCGCTTAACTTGTTATATGTTAGATTGTTAGATATGAGTTGTTAGATAGTTATTTTTTTACTATTAACAGCTTAACAAAATGTTGTCATTTGTTTTGTTTATCTCTGTTTCTCTAAAAAAGGAAGCCCTGTTCACATTGGCGTCACCGCAAGGCAAGGGTCCGGGGAAGGGTCCCACCACAAGAAGACTTGTATGAAAGTTACTATTAAACAGTTTGTTATTGTAGCTTACTATTACACAGTTTATTATTTAAAAATTACTACTAAACAATTTATTATTAGTATTAAATGGAAAATGGAAACTAATAATCCCACCTTCAGGTTAGAAAAAGAAAAAAGAAATAAATAAGTGAAAGTATAAAGAAAGTAAATTAAAAAGTTAGTAGGTTGAGAAAAAAGAAAAATGATACGTAGGACCACTTAAAGAAGATTTGTGAAAGGTGGGATTTATGGTTTATTGTTTTGCAAAGAAAAGAAAATAACATGGAATAGTAGATCATCATACGTCAGGGACCGATGGAAGAAGATGAGGTGCAAAGGTGGGCTTATTCCTGAATAATAGTTAGGTGGGACTATCGTAGGAAGATCACTAAAAGGTGAGATTATTAGTTTCTATTTTCCCCTTTTAAAAATATTATTAATTGTTTAAAAAATGCTGTTAAACAGATTATTTAAAATTATTATTAATTGTTTTAGACTTTCATACTTTTATATGAGTAACAGGGAAGTAGTCCTCTGGTAGTCGGGTAGATTGTTTGGATTGTTACTCGTCCGGTATTATAACAGAAACATGATAATTACTCCGTAGTATATTACTCCTCCAATTGTTCAATATGCCTAGCAGATTGTTTAAACTTTCCACTTTTGAAAGATGATCATTGTTGTATATATATGGTCTTTAGTGTGAGATTGCTTAAACTATCTCATTAATGTAATGTTGATAATGATCACATTACATTTAGTCATTTAGTTTATAACACCTTCAACTGAGTACTTAAAAAACACCTTCAACTGAATACATTTAGTCACATAAACTAAAATATTCTAAAACTAATGATCTTTAGTGAGTGTTCAATGTGCTTGAGGTGCGAGTCCAACATTTGAGGCACGCTCCTTTGCCTCGTTCCTTGAGTAAATTGAGCCAAAAATGCCTTGCACCTTTTAAAACTAAGTGCTTGATTGAAGCTGAAGTGCATCTGCATGATATAGTCTCAGTTGTTCTGTGTTTTCTAATGACTTATTTTTCCCTTGTGTGCATGTGATCAGGCTTCTGATTCTTCTGCTTCTCTGGATGATCTTATTGAAACTGTGCACGTTGAGATTCAGTCATTTCTCGAGTCAGTATCCAAGAAACCATCCAGCAGTTGCTCCGTATCTAAAGCTCCAACATGTGAAATGGCTTGGCTAAAAGGTCACGCATCTTCTGTACAAGAAATCCTTCACATGCTGAATTTGTACCCTTTTTATGCATTGGCCGATCCCAGGAATGAAACTGCAATTCTGGAGTCCTTGTCTGAACTAAACGACCACCTTTATTTGTTTAGTGATGAACGGGCCAAAGAAATTATAAACTTGAAAGCTACTTTTCCTCAGATAATGCAGGAATGGAGAGATTCAGTTCAAGTTAAGGAAAGAAGTGAGCATCCCTGGTCTAGTTATGAAAAGACCCGAAATTTGCTTGAAGACTTGGTGAAAACAGGGGAGGAAATAAAGGCTAAACTGGGGGAGCTAAAGAAGAAAGAAATGGGGTTGAAAAATAAGTTGGAGGTCATTAAAAGCAATATTCAACAACTCATGGAGGAACGTGAAGAATTATCATATCTGACGAAGGCAGTTTGTGCACTTGCAGAGCAGCAGGCTAGCAACATTGAAGGAGCAGAGGTGGAGTTATTGGGCCTGGCTAACAAAAAGATGAAGCTGGACTGTAAGTCAAAGTGGGCTGCAACCAGACTTCTCTTTGGTTAAGAAATATGGCTCCAACTGTGTCTAGTGACGTACATTTTCTTAGCACTTTGGTCAAGAATTATGGCCCCGACTGTTTGTTAAAAGCTTGTTTCGGCATTCTTTTGTCACGTATGGTTGTAAAAGAGTGCTTTACAATTTACTGCCAAAGGAATTTTGCTGCAATGATTTTTATTTTGTTATATCATTTTGTAAAACTCTTAATACTTCCTCCGTATTTTTTGTTTGCTACAATAGGTGTTGGCACATTATTAAGAGTGAATTAGTCGGAGTAATGAATAACATAGAAAAAGTAAAAGAGATAAAATGTAGAAAAAGTAAGGGTAGTTGAGTAACCAAGCATTCCAGTTCACGTGGTTGTGAAGTTACCGTACCTAATAAAAGGTTTCGAGTTCGAAACCCGCTAGACACATAAGCATTCGCAACTCAATGGAGCACGTTTCAACCTTGATTACTCCAGGCTCCTTCCAGAGTTCCAGCTCCCTTTCCCAGACCTCCTTGGAGTAAAAAATAAGGATAGTTGAGTATTTTTAAGGAAAAAACATGCCAAAAAGGGAAATTGTAGCAAATCTATATCTCTACAATATTATAAGAGAAAAATTTGTTAGGGGTTTAACGGTGCATAAAAAAATGTTGGTGTCTCTTGGTGCATAATCTGATTGTACTTTATATTGACTTGGTTGTAATCCTTAACATGCTCGCAGCCTCGCACCTTTCAACGTTATATCCTGAATTACGGTGGCACTCCTCAACGTTATACAGAGTATCAATCTTCGGCTCTTATGTTACTGATTCTCTACTATTCATTTATTTTGTTGAAAACTTTTCAGCTTCTCTCTTCGGTTTCCGCCGCTGCATCCTGGCCTCATAATGGCTTCTGGAGGGTTTAGCATCTCAAAGGTCACAGGATGGTCGATTATAAGTAATTTTCCGCAGCTCTACGTTGAATTTTCCTCTTCATCTCTGTTCTACTCTTGTAAGTTTTTTCTCTATTAAGCCAATTTGCATTGTATGGTTACTTTATTGTTAGTGTTCTCCGTATTATCTTGTTTATTTCCCTCTGTCGTTGTTCTGTACGGGCTCCCAGAATTGTTTATTTTGGTGATTCCAACGGTACCCTGGGATGGGGGATTCCGGCCAACCTAGCTCGTATGGACGGATATCCGATGTTCAGCGGATTCCGCTGTTTCATCCAGGGATTGCAAGTGGTGGACTGGCGAAATGGGTGTCCAGATTGTATTGGCTGAATACACCTCGTCAGCCGCCTCCTGTTCGTCCGCCATCCGGCGCATGGTTTCCGCCAGTTCCCTCATGAGCTGGGGGTCGCGCCTGGCCTCATGGGGGATGAGGTTGGTGAGGCCACCATCGCCTCCAGCGGTCCCTAGCATCTCAGAATGCTCCGTGGTTTGCCCGCGGCTCCTTCGTCTGCGAGATAGTTGCTCCGAAAGGTCGCGTTGTTGGCTGTTTCTTGCCATCGTGCTTGCTGTGGGTAGATGTAGCAGCTGTTTTTTGGGAGAGTTTTGGAAACTTTTAGTTCAGTTTCCCACAGACAGCGCCAGTGTTGAGGTTTATTCCTTCAACCCTCGGGTTCAACGCGTAAGCCCAAGAGTTTCGAGTGGAGTGTGTGTGAAGAAACTAGCCCGACTAACAAGTGAGATGGATTAAGAAACAGTAAGTAGCAAGTGAGAGATTAGGTATTATTAATCAGTTAATAACTCCCCAATACAATATTTTCGCCAAGGCTCGTCGGCCGTTCGTCTTACAAGGTAGTAGAAGAGCTGCGAGTAAGAATGCTATAAGCTAGAATGCTAGGAATAGTAAGTTGCCAACCCCTTACAATGAAATAAATGCTGCTATTTATACCACCAATGGGCAGCTGGCTATGCTGATGTGGAGGCTTGTGTGTGGCTGGTGTCCCAACCACCAAATCTCCGGCATTAAATGCGCTTCCCGCCAGAATCTGGGTTTCCCGCCTAGTTGTGGGGACGTTCGTCTAGTCCGGATAAGGGGGACGTGCTCCTGGTGATATTGCAAAGGTAATGGGCCGTTCGTATCCCGGCCGTTAGATGATTTGTCCCACAGGTTGGACTGGCTCCAAGTGATAATGGCTTCCGGAGGCGACGTTCGTCGCCATTGCGTCTGTCTATGGATCTGATCCGATCCACTTGTCTTTGTACGGACGTTCGTCCGAGTGGGCTGCCCCGCCTAGGAAGACGTTCGTCTTGGTCGAGGTGAATGGGCCGGCCCATGTGCTGGTCATTAACCCAACACAATGTATAAATAACACATTACAAATGCAATAAATATAATAATTGAAAAATAGAAATGTAAAAAAATCAAGTTTCATTTGGACACAGGAAAATAAAGATATAATAATGTAATATTCTGAAACTAGATTAGCTACTAAAAAATTAATAATATTTGTATAGTTCCAAGTTGTGTAAAAATTAGGATATCACATTTGCTCTACCGTCAATCTAAACGGTAAGAATTAACTGAAGGACTTAATTAATATAGATCAAATATAATAAGAACTAAAATGATATGATGATGATAATTTAAGGACCATTTATGCATTTTATGTTTTAACTAGAGTTTGTCCAACAACAATTTGTTTGGTAAATAATTTTAATCCAACTTCAATTTCGTACATATTTTATTATTCAGCATTATTTTAGGAAAAACGTGAGATAATCTTAATGGAATTTTAAAAAATGAGACAATTTTCACCGTTAGAGCCGTTTACAGATTTTTTTACCCTGCCATCAGAAAAGGAAAACCTTGGGTCAGTTTTCGTCTTTTCGAGTTTCAATTCGATTTTATCCTCCCTAGTTAAAAGTTCTAAAGTCATGTGAACATTCCATTAAACTCAGGTGGACGGTGGTACGGAGTATTATTTGCGCGATTTTTTGGTCTTTGAAAAGCGTAAGAGCCAACAACAGAAGTGATCTTACTCAGGATACGAAGCGAGCGAGACGGCAGAGTGCTTGGGCCTTGTGTACATCACGACCCATTCTTCACTTTTTCTTCCGGAATGCATTGTATCAAGGCCTAAGCGACGAATTGAAGAAAAAACCAAGCAATATATATAATGTCAAAATTAAATTTGCATGGAGGATTGAACATTTTTCGCAACTTGATGTTAAAAGGATTTACTCGCTGATCTTTGTTGTGAACGAGTACAAATGGTACATGCCATTAGCAAACGAAAAACATCCTTATATTGTGCGATTTGATTATGTGTTGTCGGTGTTGATATTGTTTTTTTGTGTTTGTGTGCAGGAAGTTGTGTCTTTATCCAAAAGGAGACTGTACAGGTACAGATCAATTGTCTCTATACCTATATCTGGCTGACGCGTCAAGCTTACCCAATGGGTGGAGTATAACAACAAAGTACAGTCTGGCTCTTATTAACCAGATAGACACCAACAAAACCATCATGCGAGGATCAGGTATATTTCCGCACAACGGAACAAGTCACAAAATTGTGGTTTTTACATTTTCTTGTCTACATCGCGGATGCAATTTTTTTTGTCCGGATTTACAAGAGTTAAAATGTTGTTAGAACTAAATAAGACTAGTTTAACATGCTCAAATAAAACTTTTCATTTATGATTGGACCAAATACTCTCGCAGGAGTGGAGCACTGTTGCATAAGTTGCATTGCTGCCTCCAGGTGACAGGATCGCCGCTTGCTACCGTCAAGCATTTTTCTAGAATTTTTCCAAGGACTTGCGAGAAGTGTAATAAAATTTAATTTTTTTACAAGATTACGGAATTGGAGTTTTTTAAGTTTTTGGACTGATATGGAAGGGAATGTTAAGCCCACTCATGTCTTAGGTTATCTGGCATTAATTCTTTTTTTATTTAATTTGTTTTCCACTATACCATCTTCAATGAAAGAATTATAGTGTGCGTATTATTAACAGAGTTTTTCTGGACAAAAATATGAATTGTTATATTTTTTAACAAAAATATTATTAGTCATTGTGTACGAGTAACTATAGTGTATTTCAGAGTGACAAGTCACTAATAGATGATGCGTCACGAGAACTACTCACTTAATATGTCACTTGTAGAAATTTTAAATAAGTGATATATTTGTCTTTTGAATTTAATTTATTAATATTCATGGGAAAATCTCATCTCCAACTAGAGGCTAAAATTTTCTCACAATATTTTCTCTTCATCCAATGAAAATAGACTTTACAATTAAACACACTTTGCTTCAAAATATTTCAATTAGTTTGGATTATATTTATTATTAGGATATTTCCTTTTGCCCTTAACTTTCAATTACTTTAGATGTAGGTTATAATAGATTTATTGTGCTATAATACATATATTTATTGCACTTAAATCTGCAAAACAAGATATATTTCAACTAAATATATTAATAATGACACTGATAGAATATTAATCTAGAGAGAAGTGAGATAGAGAATGTTTCTAATTAATATTTCTCAATCTCATATAATTACTACTCCTATGAGAGTATTTATAGGGAAAATGTGGGTTTGGCCTCCTAGAACTTGGGTCTGGGAGGCCTGATACACAATAAGGCCTCTAATGGACGGAGTACATGATTTCTAGAACTAAGTACAAAATATAGTCTACTGGAGTCTCGTTTTCCGAAGGAGGGCCTGACTGAAGGAGGTCCAAGTTTCTGCTCCTGGACTTTTGGGCAGTATTCGGTGATGATGGAGTTTGGCCAATGGAGGGCCATCTAGGCACCGTGGTCCTCGTGCTTGTCTTATGAGTATGTGGGCCATAGGGCCCGGACCCATATACTTTATCAGTCACATTCTCTTAATATTAACCAAATACAAATGAAAATAGATTGAATACATTCTCATCAATCTAACATACTCAACGACGTAAAAAATCACATAACCAACTGAGTACTTAGCTTAGTGCATGCCCACGATATTTTTACTATCTCTTTCTTGCAAAATGTGAAATTTATACGAGTATAATTAATAACGTAACCAACACTGTCATTCGCCAAAAATAATAAGAAAGCCAAATGGCTCAGTCCTTCTTCGTCTAGTCGTCCTCTTTCCAGGCTACGGCCCTCACAGCTTCACTCCAGCGGCGAGAGCAGCAGCAAAGTGCTCTTGTCTTGCGTCCAAATCCCATCGTCATCGTTCTGATTTTCTAGAAGAGGGGAGTGGTTTGCGGCTTGGTTGGACGGATAGATGATCGAAGATGGAGTCGGGAGCTTGGGAATTTTGGGCGCATGTTAATGGATTAAAGTTGGGC